AAAAAAGTTACAACAAAAAACTCTCTCAAAAAATTTGATAACAAAATTTCTCCAAATATGTATTTTTCAAAAGCATCATAGTAATAGTACACCCTAAAAAAAGAAGAAGAAAGTATTGCAATACATAAACACACACACCAAAAAAAAAAACTAGCAATCTATACTATATATTAAGGAAAATAAGATTTCTAACAAGACGAGTCTTGTGAAACTCAAAACTCTCATACTATTTTTCTAAAATTTTTATTTTTTACATAATTAAAAAAAATCTTCTATTGGCTAACTTTTATTGAATCATTAAAAAAAAATCTTATTATATCTTGATTTACACATTTCAAAAAGAAATTTAATTAATCCATTTAGAAATTTGAAAAGGAAAACTCTCATACTATTTTTCTAAAATTCTTATTTTTCAAATAATTAAAAAATTTGTCTATTGCCTAACTTTTATTGAATCGTTAAAAAAAATTCTTATTACGCCTTGATTTCAAAAGTTAATTAATCTATTTTAAATTTAAATTTAGAAATTTGAAAATGAAAGTTAACTAATCTGTTTTAAAAAAAATTTTAAAAAAAATCTTCCAACTTTTATTGAATCATTTAAAAAAAAACTTATTATATTTTGATTCATAGTTTCAAAAAGAAAGTTAATTGATCTATTTAAAAATTTGAAAAGGATGAGTTTTGAAATTTAGACTTTTGTGCTACTAAAATATAGAATCAATTCACATCTTTCATAATTTTTTTTCTCTTCATGTTTAATTTTTTTAAATAATTTAAAAGAAAATATTGGCTACCTTTTATTCTCTTATAATGTGATTCATTTTAAGAATTTGCTTCTCCCACAAAATATTATATAGGTTTTTTTAATATTTTTTATGAGTATATCAATACAATAAATTGTCCAAAACTTCTTTCAAATATCGATGATGTGTTTCATTCATGGTTTTGGGTATAAATTTTGAAAGGAAAAGTGAAAATGTGTGTAAAATTAGGTAAAATGTAGTTATATTTTATTCACATTTCATCTATTTTTTTTTCTTTTCTCTTTCTAAATTCCTATCCAAATCTATGAATAAAACATAACATAAAGTTGGATACATATTTTCCATACTGTTAATTTTGAATTAATATTATTTAATATTGTGTAATACAAACTTTTATTATACAATAATGGTTACCCGTGCAATGAATGGGATTTTAGAAAGTCAATAATCATTAAAAAAAAATTACTTTTTGATTGTATTTCTTGATATTTTTATTTAGTTTGTTTATATAAATCTTATTTCACATCATTAAAAATATTTAATATTTCACATTATTGAAATTTTTTGAAAAACTATAATACATGAAGTAAATCATCACATAAATAATAACTAATTTATCTAAGAATTATTTCAGACAACCAAAAGTAGAATAACAAAGGCATATTATCATTAATCAAAATGACTAATATTAAATAAAAGTAACACTAATTTTGTTTAATCAACAGTAGATATTACATTAATCATCCCATATAGTATAATGAATTAAAATAAAATTAATTTTAATTCTTATTATATTCAGTTAATGGTTAAATTTTTTTTACATGCTATTTGTTTTTTAGTTATATTAATTCATTAAACATAAGGTTTGGAATGATTTTAAAAATAAATATAAAAAAAGTTTGAAAATGCATTAAAGTTGAATTAAAAAACATAAAGAATACAAATATTTAAATTATTCAAAAAAAATTAACATTTTTAATATGAGATCTCTTCCATTTGCTCAAACTCTGAATCCAAATAAATAAATTTAAAAAGAAGAAAATTATGGTTTAGTTCTCAAAGGAAATGAGTTCCTCAAAATAAATTTAATCATGAGTTATTTCAACAAGATAATCAACAATAAAAAAATTAATTGATGAATAGATTTAAATATAAGCCCATAGCCAATAAATTTTGATGTGTTCTTCATTTTCAATCCAACATCTACGCCAAAAAAAATTAAACACAAATAGTCAAATGAATGAGAGAGTTACAAATTGATAATAGTAACGCTTTAAGAGAAGAGAGAGAGAGAGAGAGAGAGAGAGAGTAAAATCTCAATTAAATGACATATTATTAGCAAAAAGACAAAAACACACCAAAAAAAAAAAAAAAAAAAAAAAAGATACTGATTGTAACAAAAAAAATTTAAAAATAAAATAATAGTATTCATTTACATAAACTCATTTTCTCACAAATGCAAAAAGTTATGCAAGTACACATTTTAAATATAAAGCAAATATTTAATATTTTTAGGCATCGAAAAAGGATCAGAAATGGCTCAATGTTGATTTTTTCCCCCCAATCTTCTGTTCATGGTTCCTTTTGCAGGAACTTGTTTTTATATTGAAAAGATTGTTCTTAGACAAAAGATATATATGAAATTCTATCATATTTTAAATTTATATGGATAATTACACTACAACAGATTGCACAATTGGCAACTAAAATTGGCAACCAAAGCAATTTTAGTCGCCAAAAACAGTATATTGGGCGACCAAAATCCAATTTTAGTCGGCATTCATTTACTCTTTTTAGCTACTAAATTCTTTCAGTCGCCGTATAGTATTATTGGCAACCAAATTTACTTTCAGTTGCTGTTGGCAACCATTTTAGGCTACTAAAATTCCATTTAGTCGCCGTATGATAACATTCTCCGACAAAAAAATTTTGTCGCCAAAAATTGGGAGTATTTTGATGAATATTTGGCGACCACAACATGATTAGTTGTTGTATAATAAACATTGCCGACGAAAATTTCAATTTAGTAGCCAAAATATGGTCTTTTTGGCGACCAAATTTTAGTTGCTTTTCACGACATTTGGCGACAAAAAACGGTTTGGTCGCCAAAGCTTCGAATTTTTTTTAGAGGGAAACTCATTAATATATTGGCGCCTATATTTAACAATGAATTATTTTTCTTCTGTTTCACACACACACCAACATACAGAGCACTCGATGCCAAACCTCAGCACCACTGACCACCGCCGATCATCACCATCGCTCGCCACCACGACCACTGATTACAGGTATTTCTCTCTCATCTCTCTCCCTCTCTGTCGATCTGTGTCTGTCTGTTTGTATCTCCTTCTCGCTGTCTCTCCCATCCCTGTGTCTCACGATTTGTGTAGGGTTTTTAAATGTTTGCTTTCTTTCATTTTCTGTTCAATTCGTAATCAATTTTTTAGGGTTTTTTTTCTGATTTCGTGAATGGGTGGTTGAAATTTCGGATTGTGGATTTCTGATTCTCCATTTTCTATTGTTCACCTATATGACCAAATGTGCCTCTGTTTTCTGGAATATTCCAAACTAACCCTATATATATATATATAATCTAAAAATTTAATCAATTTAGCATTTGATAATCCGAATGTGCCTCTGTTTCCGGGGGGAGATGTGATCTTGGAAACTCTATCAATTTAGCATTTGCCAACGCGATTCAGTTGGGGTTTTAAATGCAAAACAAGGGTTGAAACTCCCAGTTTCAGTTTTGACACTACACAGATTTTGGGCTTATATCAGAACACTGGGAAGATGTTGATGGGGAAGCGTTTGATGCAGCTGTAGATGTTTGTATTGGTGAAATAAATCCATTAGAAAACGCAGTGAAACAGTCCAAGCGGAACACGGGAAGGGCAGAAGCTGCACAAGCAACTGTGGACCAAGTAAAAGTGGAGGGCATTGATACCAATCTAGCTGTAATGAGGGTTCATAAAAATATTTTCTATTTGTTTGGCTTTCTTGTGCCAGAACAATAATTTTTAGTAAGAATTGATTTTTACTTTTTATTTTGATTTTTAAGATCATCTGCATTTAGTTAGATAGGTGTAAAAATTGTATTATTATTATTTTTTATCACAGAAACCATGTTTGGTTCAGTCTTTGTGTTTGAAGAAAAGGGAGACTTTTTCTTCATTCTCCTTTAGGTAGATGGCAGCTTTTAAAAATACTGAAGAGTCCCAGTCAACTAGACTATGAACACAATGAAGGGAAGTTAAACAACTATTTTTCCATTTTAGATAAATCTATCTGATATTTTCCCATATATTCTTCACCTTGATATAGCTGGTCCATTATATATGCATTGTTGGGAAATTGAATGCTGTGATGATTCTCCATTTTGGATTTCTGCTTCTCCATTTCTGCTTCTTTTTTTTTTGGAATTGAATGCTGTGATCAGGTTAGAAAGCTGATATTAAGCCTCTCTGAAATTTGTATCACTTGAAATCCATATTTGCTTTAATCGATCTGAGAGTTGGGGTTGTGTTCCCTTTAATTTGCCTTGTTCTTTCTCTCCTTGTGTTATCATTGTAATGTTCATGAAATTAGGAGAAAATGAAGTATCTTTATCTAGAAATGCTTGTACAATATTTTGCCAATTTGTTGGAATCTAAGGGGAAAATGGATGAATTTAGATACTATCTATTGTAGGTGTCTAGCTGATAATGAAACCATGGAGCATGTTTCATTGACGTGCACTTGTGACAATGTTATCCTTTTAGTTACATTGAATTTAGACCATTGTTATCTCCTAATTTAATAATGTACAGAGGCATGAGCAGTTTCTAAGGTACATTTTTTTACATTATATATTTATAGTTTATTAAGCAAATTCATTGTTACAGTTCAGAGGTTCGATATCTCTCGGGTCACTTTGGTGGAACTCCAAACTTTAGGCTTGCACCACCGAAGGAATTAGTTGAAAAGGCAAGTATTGCTTTGTCTTCTTTACATTCTTGACCATACAAACAAAAAATTTGGTTCCTGCTTTAATACGGTTAGTTACAAACTTGACCATACATCTGATGGAAATAATGAGATCAAACCCACAACTCTTTGGTACTGTTACAGTAGGATTCTGATAAACGCATGACCTGTCCTATAGTATACAGTGATTGTCATTTTCATAAATTCAATACTTTAGTTATTTTTATTTTATGTTTTTTCTTATTCTTCTCTTGCTGCAGTAGGATCAAGTGAAGATAGATGGACTTGCATGTGCAGTGCAGATAGTTTACCTGAAGTAGCAGCTGGCAGTCTCAAACATTATACATAAAAGCCACATGACAACAGTCTCAAGCAAAATATACCAGGACTAAAATTATTGTGGTTGTTGAAAGATAGCGCTTTAGCATAGCTAGTTTACCAGACACTCCCCATAAAATCCTCTGCGTAAATGAACTTTGAAAACCTTATCCAGCAATTTTGTAAATAAGTTCAGCTAGAAAGAATGGTTGGTTGTGAGTCTTGCCAGAATGAGTTGTGAGCCAATAAATGATGCTAGAAGGAGACCCATAACACTCTTGGCATAGAATTTGTTGTCATTGTTTTGATCTTGCTCAATTCTTGCATAAATGGGAAAGTGAACCAGATCGTCTCTTCAAAGGTGATTATTACTGGTTATGTGGAAGTTCTTAGTAGGATGGTAAGATGATGAATCAAGGGAATTAAGCTTGGTTGACTGGGGGCTTGATTGTGATTGCAGAAAAGATGCTCACGTCAAGCTTAATACATTGGCTGCTTAATCTGCTTAATCATGGTTAATCTGCTTAATCTGCTGGCTGCTATTTTAGTTTTATTGTTGTAAATGTATGTAAATGATGTGAGTGATGTTTATTACTCATGTCATTTTGTTATTTTTTTATGTAGGTACCATGGTTCCTGGAATGAAGACGGGGCGGCGGAAGACAGCAACAAGTGGTAACCTATTATCAGCCTCCGAAGCATGTCCAGCAGTTATTGGCACCCCGTTGACGTTATCTGATGAGACGCAGCCACCAGATGATACACAAACAGTGGTGGAGGAGACGCAGCCAGGTGGCGTGGGTAAGAGCATTTCCGTAGTTGTTTACAAATCTTTTTTTCTTTTTCTTGGGGTGAATAAGTCAGGTCTTGACGGAAATGAAAACCCCATAAATAGAAAGAAAAACAAAGAAAATGTGAATGGCTTGTGAATCTGATTGGTAAGGAATGCCTTTGTTCATCTGTAGTTTAATCTGTTTGTTAATCTTGTTAGTCAATGTGAATGCCTTAGTGACCACATAACCTGCCTATAGTACCCAACCCTTCAACTCATTTTGTTGTATCTCAAGTTTAACAGAGGCAACACATGCACTCTTCGGTTGGCCTATAGTTGGTTGAGGTGATATTATAGCTTTATTGTGCTTTACATTTTTAAAATTAAAATATGTAAATTTTGTTGTACATAAAGTTCATTGATTTAGTTTTTTTTATCAACAAAAAAGAAAGAACCATTATAGATGGAAAACCATACAATGAGATTACATCAAATAAAGGGAAGGAATTTGGTAAGGAACCAAACCCGAAAGGAAAAAAACAGGAGAACATAACACAGACAAAGTGAACCAAAGCAGAACAGAAAATCTAAATAGACCAAGCACAGCAGACACAGCAGTAGGAAGACCTATTTTTGCAAAAATGAACCTAAGCCAAAAACAATTAAAAATGCATACTTGACCCTTTGCCATCAGCCCAGAATTACACAGCAGATTCAACCATAGCATGCTAGCAAACCTTAGCTTAGCAGCCCAGAGGCCACCAGCAGTCCACCATCAGACCAACAGAGCCAAACAATGTAACAACAGACCACCAGCAGTCCAGCAACATAGCATAACACATCATCCCAGACTTAACAGCCCACAACTAAGCCTAGCAAATCAGTTAAACAGCTCAGCAAGAACACTTGCAGAACACCATATCAGAACAGCATGCAGGACTTGCAGCCATAACTTGCAGCCAGCTTGCCCACTTGCATATCACATCGACCCAAATTGACAGCCCACTATTAGATTTAGTTAAGTTCTAAACTTAAAAGAAACCAAGGGCTGTACACTTAAATATTAGTTTGATAGTCACTAATTAAGTCTTTGCTGTTACAATGCGTAAAATGTGTTTCTTTTTTTTTTTTTTAAATGAAGCAACAACTCATACTAGTTGAGTTCATTAACTTTGTTTGTAATTTGTGACTTGCTTCCCCTTTTGTGGCAGGGCGAAAAAGGTCGACTCGTGTACGAGGACGTACATTAGGCAAAGGAGTGCAAAAAAGAATAGTTAGGAAAAAAGGAGAGAAATTACATGTGTATGTCAATCGTGTGTTGAACGCAATCACAGGAGGGAATGCAACCCCAGCGACAAATGAGTTGGGATTGCAAATTAGACGGTTGTGCCCTCTTCGGAGTGTGAAGTCATGGAGAAAAATCGATCAAAGTACCAAAGATGCGGTCATCCAAGCGGTGCTAGTATGAGATTCATCTTGGTTAAATTATTATATTATTTGTAATTGCTTAAATTAATTGATGAACTAATTGTCTTATTATGTTTGTAGGACAAGTTTGTTATCGGCGATGATTTTGATAATGATGAACAAGCTCAACAAATCCTCGATAGGAAGGCATATTTGCTATACAAGGATTGGAGGTACAATCTAAAGCAAGAGTTCCTCGAACTTGAGGAAAGGGGTGTTGATGACCCCTATAGTCATCCGCGTAGTGGAGTGAGCTTGGACGACTGGAAATATCTTATTGATGTTGCTTGGAAAGACGAATCTCACTTGGTAACAAATTAATTAGAAACCCCATTCTTGAAATTCATTTATGTGAATATAAATAAAAATTCTTTACTAATTATATTTTTTTTTGTAATTTTGTTTTTTGTTTTTTTTTTTCTTGTTAGAAATGCTCTAAAGCTGGTAAAGCAAATAGGGGTATGCTCCCCTACAATCATACAAGTGGATCGCGATCATTTCTTATAGCAATGTCGCTTATGGTGAGAAGTAGTTATTTGTTTAGTAATGTAATGGATGATTGATTATTCTTCATTTTGAATATTACTATGTACTACTTCTTCAATGGTATTTTTTCAAACCTAATAGGCAAATGAGGATGGAGAAATAGATTTCCCTGAATTTTATAAGAAATCACACAAGTCCAAAAAGACGGGAGACTTGATTGACCCCAAATGTGGTGAGCTACATGTGAGTATTGAATGTTGAAACTAATTTAGTTGCAGACATATTAGTAAAGTTGTTTTCAATTCCTTCAACCATCTTGACTTTTTTTTTTTGCCATGACAGGATGATATGGTGAATCTACAAGTTGTAGCCACCGATGCGGGGTTGCCATTGACCCACGAAGAACTATCAAGGCAAGTGCTCGGGGAAAAAAAAAATTACTTGCGTGGATGTGGGGTAGGCCCACAACCCTCTCCAAGTAAGTTTTGACAAAATTATTAATAAATAATGATATTAATAATAGATAAAAATATTAATAATAGATAAAGGTCAAAAGGTTTATAAGGTGGGACGTTATTAGCATGCGTACGTTGGGGGTTGCCGTGACAAACGCATATATAAGCTTATAAATATATATTACAGCTTATAAATATATATGTTATATAAGCATCTCTATATATTTAGTTTCATGAATAAAATATATATGTGTACACTTTAGACTAAACTTGACTTGGGGCTCATGCATGCCTTGGAGGCAAATTTGCCTTAAACTGTGTGGACACCAATACAGATAAATGGAGGGGCAAATATTGTCCTATGGAAAGTGACCTAGTCCACACCTTGAGAGAGAACCAAGATGAAGGCTTTCTTATGAATAAAAATTATTGGTTGTTGACTGCTTAGGAATTGTAGTTACCGTGATGACCTAGAAAGTGGAAGGTTTGTTGATCATTATGGAGATTTAGATGTTAGATTTTAAGTGTGAGAAACAAATCTTGGAAATGTGAAATATACAAGTTACTGGGTAATAAATACACTCTTGAAATTGTATGATGCTGCGAAACACATGGCCTATATACACCTCATCTGTTACATGATCACTGTTGTGGCTGAACATCATTCATGTTGAATTGGAATTTGAAGTGTTTTGCTCAACAAAAGAATGACTGTGAAGCTGAATAAAAATTCAGAAACTGTTGGAGCTAATAAACGAGATCGGTGTCATAACCTTTTCATGGCAACTGTGAATCAGTGGTGATCATTCAGCTTTAACCTTTTTTTGTTTATGCTTACATGCAACTGTAAACTGTAAACTCATGTGGTTCACCCTTTTTTTTGTTTATGTTTACATACATGATGCCAGGTGCGGAGGGAAGGGCGCATCAAGTGGGGTCATGCCCCCTTAAACGTTTGTACATACTTTTTGTTGAAAATTTTTGTTTACAATGGAACTAATGGGTGTCATTTTTGTTGTGTAGATGGCTTTTGGCATTGACATGTGGATCTTCTATTTTTTTGACCGGAAGATAATTCACAGTTTTGCAAAGTTGGGAAGTTTTGGGTCGTCCTCAGCTTTTTGTGTGGAAATTGGATGAATCGTACATATAATTTTAGCACGCATTACATAGTATTTTTGGAAGTTGTATTAATTACTATGGTGGTATATGTAGATTACCTTTTGTCGTGGTACATATTACCATGGTTATGTTTACATACATGATGCCAGGTGCGGAGGGAAGGGCGCATCAAGTGGGGTCATGCCCCCTTAAACGTTTGTACATACTTTTTGTTAAAAAATTTTGTTTACAATGGAACTAATGGGTGTCATTTTTGTTGTGTAGATGGCTTTTGGCATTGACATGTGGATCTTCTATTTTTTGTCCGGACGATAATTCACAGCTTTGCAAAGTTAGGAAGTTTTGGGTCGTCCTCAGCTTTTTGTGTGGAAATTGGATGAATCGTACATATAATTTTAGCACGCGTTACATAGTATTTTTGGAAGTTGTATTAATTGCTATGGTGGTATATGTAGATTACCTTTTGTCGTGGTACATATTACCATGGTAATTTGTACCATGCCAAATGATCATTACAATGCATAGTGTAGTAACAATGTTTTGTGTATAGAGGACATGGTTTTGGTAACATAGTTGGAATGTATGACATTATTTGTAATTGGAATATATTAGTTAGTTTGTATGTAAGTTTACATTGTAAAGTGTTCTTTTTTGTTTGATGGTTGTAAGTGAAACATGCATTACGGAATAGGTGATAATATATATATTGATTTGTTTGTATACCTATTACAGGTTACGGTGGATATATACGGGTTTTGAAAAAAATTATTAAAATGAAAAAAATAAAACAAAAATAAAAAATGACATTTTTGGTGACAAAAAAATTGGTAGCCAAAAAACAGAAATAAATCTTTTGGCGACTAAATATTTAGTAGCTAAAACGAATTGAAAATAGTTTTGGTGACTAATTGTTTAGTAGCTAAAACCAAAAACACTTTTGGCGACTAAACTGTATAGTAGCTAAAACTAGAATAACCTTTCCGTGACAAAATGTTTAGTAGCTAAAAATGACAGTATTGGCGACTACTAAATTGGTCGCCATTTATAATTGAATTTTTGGCGACAAAAGATTAGTAGCTAAAGATGTATTGATGTTCCCTTTGGGCGACTAACATCTTAGTCGCCAATACCTCATCATCAGCGACTAACAGTGGTTTAGTCGCTAATTGCTGCCTTTTTTTGCCTACTAACAGATTAGTCGCCATTCTGTTGGACTTTTAGCGACTAAAAAAATTTTAGTCGCCAATACCTTCGCCGACGATGTATCCGCGACAAAGTTGGCGACGAAAATTTTTAGTCGGCAAATCATTTCGGCGACTAAAATTAATGCTTTTGGCGACTAAAACATTAGTCGCCAAAAGTGTATTTTTTTGTAATGTTAATTGATGATTTTACAAGACAAAATATTAAGTTTGACTTGAAGGTAAACTTTAAAAAGATTAAACTAAAATATATGGAAATTCTATAACAAATTAACAAAAGATAAATATAGATCATTAAAAAAATTATCATCTTTTTGGGATATTTATATCCCAATCTTAATCTTTTTTATTTAAATATTTTGTTATATTTTATTTGAATTTTTATTTTATAGTTCAAATCTAAATAGTTATATTTCTATTTTTGTATATTTTTTCATCTCTATTTTTTTGTTATTCATATATAAATAGTTATCTTTTTATTTTAAAAATTATTTGACTCATAATCTTTTTTATTTGAGTATTAATCTTTTATTTGAATTTTTATCAATTCAAAATATGGAATTTTATTAAATTTGAACTTTATATGGATAATTAATTGTTGATTTTAAAAGGTAAAATAATAAGTTTAACTTGAAGATAAAATTTAAAAAGATTAAGCCGAAATATATGAGAATTCTACAACAAACTCACAGAAGGTAAATATAAATTGTTAAGAAATTTATTATCTTTCTGGGATTTATATCTCAATCTTAATATTTTTTATTTGAATGTTTTTTTTTTTATCTTTTATTTGCATTTTTATTTATGGAATTTTATTATATTTAAAATTTATATGAATAATTAATTAATGGTTTTAAAAGATAAAATATTAAATTCAACTTGAAAATAGACCTTAAAAAGATTAAGCCGAAATATATGGGAATTCTATAACAAACTAGCATAAGATAAATACAGATCGTTAAAAAATTTATCATGTTTTTGGAATTTATATCTCAATCTTAATCTTTTTTGGTCCATATATAAATAATTATCTTTTTATTTTAAAAATTATTTGACTTGAATATTTTTTTATTTAAATATTTTTAAATTGTTCATATATAAATAGTTAACTTTTTATTTTTAAAATTAATTAACTCGTAATATTTTTTATTTAGTTATTTTTTAATCTTTTATTTTACTCTTTATATTATTTTGTGGTCGAAATTTGAATATTTATCTTTCTATTTATTTTTTTATATTTTTATCTCTACCTCTTTGTTGTTCATATCTAAATATTTATCATTTTAATTAAATATATATAATCCTTTTGGCTTTTGAGAGTTAGATAATTGACAAATGATTAAAAATTAGAAAAAGTGGGAGGGGAGACTTGAGAGGTGATACTTAGGAGAGAGAATTCGTATGAGTTTAGCATTAAGAGTTTGGAGAATTCTCATACTCCACTACATTTGCTTATGTAGCGATCCCGGTTTCGATCCTTCTTTTATGTTTTGCCACTTCGATTGGGCTGATCGGGGGTCGAGGGGGCAACTCCCCTTCGCGGGGGTCCAGAGGGCAATGCCCCTTTGCGGGGTTGAGGGGCAACGCCGCTCAAAACAAAAATGCAAAACACATTCGAAGTTGCTTGTCCGCTCGGTCGATTTGGAGTGCGGGAGAGGGCCGCACGCGTAGGGAATGAGGCCGTACGTGCGGAAAACAGGGCAGGGGGGCTGAAGCACACTGCTAAAAAGGCAGGTGCAGCTGGAGGAGCGAGAAGTTAGGTAGATCCGGAATTTTTCCTTTTCTTCTCTCTTTAAGCTGATTGAATGTCACTTTTTATATATATCTCTCTCTCTAAAAACGTTTCCTCTCCATTCTCTCTATATTTCGTACCAAAAACCTCACAAGATCTTTGATTTCTCCAAATCCATTGGGATTTAGGCCTAAGTTCTTCACCAAAGTTGGTTATCACCTCGAGGGCTTCATTGTGCGCGGTGGAGATCAAGTTTCGACACCGTAGATTTTGGGGTTTCATCTCAGATTCTCTTCAAAACTTGAGTTAGGGAATTTCTACACTCTAATATGGTTTTTAGCTTAGTTATTTGCTATTGTGTATAGATAATGAGATATGGTTATGGTTTGGACAAATCTAGGATTTGGGTGTGAATAAAAAGAGAGGTATTTGATGAAAATGAGGTAAATGAGTATGAGACTTGAATATAAGATCATTTTGTGCCAAAATAGTTGATTTTGGTGTTTGAGTTGATATTTGGAAAGAGGGAAGTTTTGCTCTAATTTTGATTAAATTATTATTTTGTATAAATGATTAGGATTAACATTGAAAATGTGAAATTGGAAGGTTGTGGTTATAAATGGTGATATTGGATATGTAATATCTCACCTATGGAAGTTTTGAATAAACTATTTATTTTGAGATTGAACATCTCTTAGAAATAATTATATTGGGCTATCGATGGAGAATAGCTATGATTGTTGTAGAAATTGCATGAGGATTGGGTGATTTAGTGCTAATTCATTGTTGGTGTCATTGAATATGACCATGTTATAAATACATTGTATATGTATGTTTATTGGGAGAAGAAAAGGGATGTACTCCATATGTGATTATATTTATAAATATATTGCATATGTATATTTGTTTGGGAGGAGAAAGGGATGGACTCCATTTAAAGCAAGTTGACCAGAGTATCTTGGGTGAAAGACTCGAAATTTCATATATACATGGGTGCCGGTTCCTTCGGACAAAATATTCGTAAAATGGCAAGGTTTGAAGTGTTTATGTGTATTTTACATAGTTGGAAAACCTTTGAGTTGTAGTCTCATTTTGGTTGTTGAAAGATAATGAATTTAACTCATGAATTGAGTAGCATCTATGAACTTGAAATGAATTGAAGGAAAATGGAAATAAGGTTTGGTCTTAGTGGCATATGAATATGCAAGCCTTGTAAATGTTTAGTATCGGTATTGTTTATGTACGTGATATTTATACTTTAGCTAAACTTCATATATTGTGTTAGATTATCTTGACTGGGCTGTTGCCTCACCCTATATGGGAATATCATTTTCAGGTGCAGGTGAGGTGTTTCCTCCAAGGCAATAAGGTGGATGGACTTTCGGGAAGCAAGAGCTTTTTATTTATGTTTTATGTGTGTATGTTTGTTATTTATAAAGCCAAGGGCTTAAGATGTAATGAGCGAAACTCAATTTGTGTAACCAAGCAATGACTTGAAAAGATGTAACCCTACATGGCATTTAACTGGTTGTTAAACAATGAACTCTGATATATGAAGGTGCGTTGTTTCTCATATTTATTCTGCATATGAGTTATCTTTATTGTATTATTTTGGAGGCGTTACAGCGTATATATATATAGTATAGATATCTCTCCATATAATAATGATTGAAATTTATTTTAGTTGCTATCTCAAAACGTAGTTATAGAGTCAAAGAAAATGTGTAAGTCTTAAAGTTTTAAAGTAAAAATTTTATATTAGAATTTATTCAAATGTAATTCTCTTAATATTTATATAAAAAATAAATATTTATTTATTGATTGATACAAAGTACCGTAAACATTAAAATTATTATTTTTTATAATATTGAGTTATTAAAATATGATGTATTATAGGTTTAAACCAAGAATTGTTGGAAAAAAAATTGACTCAAACTTGGTTTTTTAGACTAATCTATATCTATCTATATATATTAAGCAAAATGAAATTTCTAATGAGAAATGAGCTTCAAAATTTTATCCCAATTATGTTTATTTTTTATATTTTTAAATAATTAAAAAAAATTTCTATTGATTAACCAACTATATAAAAAATAAAATAAAATAAAAAACTTTAATTATCCTTTAAATTTGAATTTCAAAATTCAAATATCTCACTAATATGGAAAATCATT